ACTTTGGGCCAGTCACTCTCTCTCAGCCCAGTTCACCTCACAGAGTTGTTGTGGGGGAAAATAGAAAGAGGAAGGAGTATTAGGTATGTTTGCCATCTTGAGTTATTTATAAAAATAAAGGCAGGATTAAAAAAAAGGACTAAAGTACAACTAAATCTAATTTATTTAAGGAACTCTTTCTCTGTTTCATCTTAAGACTCTAACCATGCAAGCTTCATGACTTCAAATCAACTTTCTTATTATTCTCTCCCCACTCCACTTGGGTTTTATAATACATTGCCTCATAAAAAGTTCTTGAAACCTTATTATCTTTGGATGGTCCTCCTTAAAGTAAAATCTGTTTTTGATATTAATTTACTTAGTGATTTTTTTTTGTTAAGCTGTGTTAAACTTATCTATGCAATATTATTTTCAGTATAATATTTTGATTTAATTTTTCCCTAGAAGTTACCAATAGCACTGCGTTACTTACTAGAAGATTCATTTTTCTTATCAAGGCGAAGATGGGCTCTGACTTGCCCTGGTTCACATCCATCACAGGTTTCACTACCAGGGTGTATGTGAAAAGATAGTACAGTTTCTCCAATCTTCACTTCATCGCCATGTTCCAGAACATGGGGGTCACTTTTTGTTTTAGGCTGTAAACAAATGAACACAGAATCTAGAAAGCAGAACATTAATCCTGACAAAAGAGTTTGGAACCATTATTTCAGAGAGAAAGATACAGGGAGTGTGGTATATGGCACAGCAAATACATGCACTTAGTATTGCAGCTGAGCAGAAGGGATACAGAAGCGGCAATTTCAAGTGGTGGGCAAAGGCAGGGGTCAACAAAATCAGCTAGGAGCATATTTCATTGTTATACTCACCTGCAGAATTTGGTTTCCATTAACCACAGTACCATTCTGACTGCCTTGATCCACAAGAACATAACTTTGTAATTCATGATCAAAGTATACTTCTGCGTGGAACTAACCGAAAAATAAAATATTTTGATAACAAGTACATAAATATCGTAAACAGTTGAAAATGTAATAAATCAGATTTTTTTTGTGCTATAATAATCTTTCCAATTACATAAAAATCCTTAAAGAATTAATTACCTTACTGACAGTAGCCTCTGGAATCTGTAGAGTGTGTTCCATCCCTTTCTCTCTGTAAAAAGAAGCAATCATTAAAGTCTGGGGAGACATGCCATGAAACCTACATAAGTCCACTCAGAAGCAAGGCCAGCCTCAGCAGCCCATGGCAGATGCTGGGATCCAAGTTCATGGGCAGAACTCCACGCTAATGATTATGTCAGAGTCTTCCTTTAATCACATGCTGGAAGCCTTTGTATAACCAGGGGCACACTTTTTAAAAATAATCTCTTCAGCTTCTGAGAGCCATACAGTGCACCAGAGATATACCTCTTTGAATTTTGAGGTTTAATTATTTTTAGTAAAATAGCAGACTTCACATAACAGAAGTTGAATGCTGACCTTTTAATACTTTTTTATCTGGTTAAGTAATGAAATGGTACTTTCTGGTCCCACAAAAATGAGCTTACAGGAGAGCCTATAAGGTTTGCCCATCCCAGATATAAACTGATTTTTTTTTTTTTCAATTCACTGCTAAAAAAAATAAAGTCCTGAGCATTAGAGTCTAGTTGTTTTCATAATTTTCCACAAACCCCTAATATAAAGCTAAATTAAACAGTAATTTCACCCAGCACTCCTTGGAATGCCCATCAGGACATAGCTATTGCCAGTGCAGGAAGTCCCCAGGTTAAGAACATCTGGCTTACAGATGACCTGGGGTTAAGAATGGAGTCTACTGTAGCAAATTTGAGTTAAATACAAAATAATTTGAGTTAAATACACAATGGTTTGAGTTAATCACACAATAGTACTTATACTATTCTGGCTTGCATGCAAATTTGACTTAAGGACAGACCTTGGGAATGGAACTCATTCTTAAACTGGGGAGGACTACCTGTATTGTCCACAGACACCAGATAAGTCCACCAGTGGAATAGGGAACTCACTTAGAAGGGAGCTGGGTTCAGACAGTCACCTGCACACAAAAAACAAGTGCTGATTTCCCCATATCCTGCAGACCAGGTCCAAGAGGCCACCAAAATGCTCTATAGTGGGATGATAAACTAAGAACATAGAATTTGCAACAAAAAAAAAAAGCCCAACCCCAAAATGGATGCAAATGCCTTTTATGCAAGCGTAGGAGTCTCTACCCAAGCAGCTGTGAGGAAAGGAAAAAACCAGGAAATCTGGACTTGTCTTCATCTGTATTTCCTCTGTGCACTTCCTTCATATACATATATATCTGTGTGCGTGCATGTGTGTATTTTAATGAAAAAAACCCAAATGAGTTGTTTTAAGAACAACAGTAAATCACTACATTCATCATAATCAATACTTATACAAGAACTCAAATTCACTAGAAATGGAAGTCTTAATTAAATATAATAATTAAAAATATTAGAAATATAATGATAAACTGGATGGATTTAACAAAAAAGAAATCTAAACTTCTCTCATTAACAGTTGTATGGTACCTTCCAATTGTGGCAGGTTTCACAGCTGTGATGATATACAGAGACCCCATCTGCAGTACTGGTGACCTAATTACAATCACTCTGATACAAGGTGGCCAGATCTTGTCTTCATCTAAATAAAATAAATAAATCAGTATCAGGCTAAGAAAGAGAAACTTTCTTGTATTATGCAATCTGCATCCAGCTTTTTGCCCCAAAGAAAGTAAGACAACACATTTGATTCTCAGCCATTATATACATTGAAGCAATATATAAAATGCACAAAAACTCTGTAAAAATTAAAATATGAACAATGCAACCATATCTACAAGGAAAAAATTGGCAAGCGTATTTTCCCAAGGTATAGCCATTAAAGACCAGTGCTAATCAATGTAACTCCAGAGAGATATATCTTGGCTACATACATATATGGAAAAAGATAGCATTAGTGCAGTTACAGTAATTTCTGGGAGCAACCAAAGCTAACAGACAGAACTTCCATCACTTCTGAGAGCAGAGAGACAGCTTGTGTTAGTTCTAAAGTGATGCAATCACAACTTTGCCAGACTAAGTGAAAGGGGCACTGAAGAGAGCTGCTGTATTTGAAAGGACAAATCTCTTATGGGAAATACACTTGCAGGGGCCACACTTGTAGCTAATTTGATCATTCAACTACATGCTCAGTCGAGGATTATGTTTTCTATTCTTTTTCCTAATGGAGCCAGACTATTAGCCAATATATCTTGCAACAGCAATTGCTGAAAAACATGAGTGAGATTATGCTATTACATTCATGTGGGTTTCCCTTAAGCATCTTTAATTAGCCACTGAAGGCATAGAATTCCTAATTATATAGGCCTAACATTACTGTATGTTTGCTACTTACTGAGTTACATTTAATGGTAGTAAATGAAAGATGGATGATCCCTAGGTGCCCATATTTTAGAAGCCAACAAACTAAGAAATTCTGTATTGTTCAGACTCTGGAGCAGTCCGGGACAAAACAGAACTGATACTTTTTCTCAGCAACAAACTAAAAGTTATTGAACTCTCTTTGTTGTTGTTCTTTTAAAAGTATTTTTATAAGATTATTATCATCTTAATATATAATCTCTATCAATAAGCATTTTTATATCCACATGTATAAGAAAAAGTTTTTCTGAACATATATTTGTCAAGTCCAGATATATTTTTTCTATCAATATCCATATAAACAGCAACATGTACAGTAAGTTTTCATTTAATACATTTTATAATTATGGATCATATTTAACTGCAAAATTCATAAGCAAGACAATGGAGAGCACATTGGGTTACTTTAGATACTTCACTGAAGAACCTGATTTTGACACCTTTGCATTCAACTTTGTATGTTTCAATTTTCTGAAAATTATTTTTTATTGTTCCCAATCTGCAAATATTTAGAAATACTTTATAAAAACCTGTAATTCACCTTCACTGTCAACATCTTCTGAATTTACAGTTTCTTCACTTGTCACTTCATTTTCACTGCTATATTCCTCTTGTTCAGAGTCTGTGATTTCACCTTCTTCTGGCTCACTTTCTGTATCTGTTTTACTATCTTCTATAATAGCAGTAAACTCTGTGTTTACACTGCTTCCATTGGCAGTAACTGATTCTTTGGCCTTTTGAGTGTTTCTTGTATCAATATCCACTTTAGCCTTTTTCACATCTGGAAATTCTTCCTCTCCTGGAGAACTTAGTTCATTAGTGATAGAAAGGCAATTCAGACTGCTAGATGATTTTTGCTCATCTGTGTTCAGATCCTGAAGATTTATAGAAAAAGTAAAACTTGAGGAATTTAGTTAAGTTTTAAAATGAGTGGATATTTTTAAGATAATTAATGCTAATCTTAAAATAGTGTGTATATATATAATCAGGATGATCAGAAATAACTGTTGATCAATTTAACCGTTATGGCAAAATATCTTTTTCACAGCTAGGATACTGTTAGCCTTTAGATTCCTTTACTACTCTCAAAACCTTTTTTTGTTGTTTTTTAACAAATTGTACCATGCACTTGGAGATTTCACTGTTGTTCTTTCCTCCTAGTCTTTTGCCCCCAATTGCACTTCCTATATTTTCCTTTACTCCAGTAGTCTATTAGAATAAGCAGCTGGCCAACTAAGCATAATTTCCAAGTTCTGTCAGGAAACTCAGGGGTAACAGTTAAAATTTGCCTTTGCTTCAACAATAGCTTTTAATTTCTTTTCTTAGAAAAACTATATGCCTGCTTGAAGCTCCAACTGAATTATTTGACCAGAGAGAAGAGCGGGGAAGACCAATTGTTTCTTTTACAGAAGTGGGTCTACTGGAGAATTTCCTCAGGATAGTTTTTCATGGGAGAAGGACTGTCAACCATTGTTGTGTTCTTTGTTACTTTTCTGCTTACTTGTATATATTATTTGAATTCTTTCAAGTTGATAAAACTTCATGAACTTCCCTTCTCTCAATGTAGGACTGTGTTTAGGAATAATTTGCTCCTAGCTTGGAAAACTAAATCATACAATGTAATTCTGGCACACAGGGTCCAGTGATTTATCAAATGCAGCTATATACATCTAGCCATTATCTATCTATCTATCTATCTATCTATCTATCTATCTATCTATCTATCTATCTATCTATCTATCTGGAATAGGGTACTTATGTACACAAACATTCTTGTACTTAGCTTTCTTATTTTAAAGCAGGAAATAACTTCGTAAGCGTATAATATTCCATGAACTTTAAAGGGAAAAAATCCCATCAGCACTTAGTATTACAATTTAATTCTAAACACTCTTTATAAGAAGCGAATCCACATAATGTTCATTCCCACTTTGAACAGCACTCCATATACAACTTTTAGATGACTTAATTCCCAGTTGGACTAAAACCATATATAATCATAAGATTTTCTTTGATTGTTGTGAGCCGCCTAGAATCATTGAGAATTGGGCGGCATACAAGTTTAATAAATTAATGTTATTATTTTTATTATTATTTACATCCAAAAATTGTTTTCACAACACAAACCAACTTATGTGAAAGAACAGATTCATACATAGAAGTAACAGAATTATAAGCTACCAGTGTTTAAGAACATACATAATAAACATCCAATGTCTCCCCTCAACCCAAAAATATAATCAGTAGTCTTGCCCTGATTTGAGACCAAATTATTTTCAGATATAACAAATCCTAATAATCAGTGTATGTTCTAATAAGCATTTACTTTAATAGATAGTTTCTTATTCTCACCCAATAAAACCTTACCACATCATTCAAGAAGCCCATTCATCCTTATCAAATACAACTGCTCTCTCTGTTCCACAAAGCTACTCCTTATATTTGCACATAACTAATCTATATGTGGTATCTTCTTTTCAGCAAAGCAAGGCTGAAAAGTTATTCAGGGTTATAGCTGGTAGCATAACTCCATAAATATTCAATTTTTCATGCTGTCTCCATACACCTCTAGAATTCTGATCTGAAAGTTAGGAAACCCCTTTGGGAACAGATTTAAGTTAAGTATAATAGGATGGAGGAAAGTCTAATTGCGTGAACATAATTCCACTTACATAATACAGAAGGAGACCTAGATAAATATCAAAGCAACACATGTTCCACTTTATCAGATTATTAATTTATTAATAAGATCTACTCAGGGGGACATTTTTAAATAACTGAATTTTTTTTTTTGCCAAACTCATATACTGTATCTGAAATAATCCAGTAATCCACACTCCAATTTACACATACATAAAACCTTGAATGTCTAATATACAATTTTTTGAAAAGGAGGGGGAGCCATTAACAATGAGGCTTTCTTATAACCTTTCAATTTGCTTCATTCTTAGAAAGTTGGGAGTTACTACATATTTTAATAATATTCGAACAGAAGATATATGTTCCACTGAAAAATAACAACTGTGCATGATGTATTTATAGATTCATATAACTGATCTTCTGGCAATGTGACATCTGCTCTGTTTAAATAAAGCTTATGGGGAAAATCTATCAAAATAATTCTCAAAGATGGACTAGCTCAGCTGTTTGCTACAAATTATGGGTGCTATGTTCAGTGTAATTACCACTTGTCCTCTCCTCATGACAGGCACACAAGACAAACAAGGTTATATGCCCTCCATCCTCCTCAACCTATTATGCTTGCTACTTCAATATCCACTATTTTGTATCTTTTCTACTTCAGGCACTGTAGCTGTTTCCAATTAGATTGAACAAAGCCTATATTAAGAGATTGAGTACCCATTACAGAATGGTATTCCATTTGTTCAGAATAGCAGAAATATAAATAAAAGTGTACATAAGCTAGGAACCAGGACTATGTCAGCTGGGAAAGAAAAATAAAAAGTACAAAAGCAAAGTGTTATTTCAAGCAGATTGAATTGATTTAGTTCATTTAAATCCATAACTAAAAAAGGTCAACCATAAACACCACTGATCTAATTGAAACTTACTATTTTGAAATTTACTTTATATACTTCCCAGCAAGCATACATTCAAACTGACTATCAAACTTTCAATTATATTTGTATGTTTATATGCAACCAAACAGAGATGAAAAATGAATGTTCAATTTTGTTGATAAGTAAAATATTAATAAATGTAAGCTGCTTGGTATAAAATAGAAGTACAAGTTCATAAGAGCACATTGATTCGCCATGTTTAAATAAGGTGTTATGAATTCTAGCACTTATGATAACTTACTACCCCCGCCCCACTTAATATATGAAACTAAAAAATACCTTTTACTACCTTTGAGGGAAGATGCTTTTCTGCAGCTTTCTTTACAAAAAAAAAGCAGCTCTTCTGTATTACGTTTATGTTCATTTTTAGCAGTTATTTTAAAAATTTGAACTTACTGTACCTGAAATTGATTCTAGTTGCGCTTTTTAAAAAAACTTGATTGTAAAAAAAAATTGATTTTTGTCCATGTTTTCATGCTTCATGTTCTTAATCATACCAGGGTTTGTTATCTTAGCTAATCAATGAAACCTATCAAGACTAATTGTATATATCCAGAGTCTAATGTGTTTGGTGTCAAAACACTACCTTCACCAGAAGTTGCCAACCCAGAAGATGAAATCTTCAGATTAGCCATGGTTTCTGTCAACTGATGTACCTAAAGATGAACAGCAGTAAAGAGTGAATACTGGAATGCAATCTAAAAATTAAGTCAATTTCAAGAGTACTAAGGAAACACATTGTTTCTAGACTGGATTGTTTCAAAATGCTTACTGTTTCCATTTTATTTAATGCCAGAAAGGTCAAAATTAATTTTATCATAAACCTCTCTTGCATACAAAAAGGTATGCAGAGATATGCTTGCTCTATAGCCAAACTACTCTCAATCTTATCAGTGTTATGCAGTCCCAGAGGGACAAAAGCAGAAATCATAAATCCAAACATAGCCCTGAATGTCATTAAATCCAGCGTGGGACCTTTCCAGTATATTTTCATATTCTCAATATACCAGCTGATCCTGGTGGTAATTATTCTTGGTCACACAGTCAGCCAGATGTTTAGACTGGATTTGGTATTTTTATCCACCTATCCAGTCCTTCCCAAGGACCTGGGATAGGCAGATGTTGTATTGTTGTTGTTGTTAATTTGTTATGTTTTTATTCCACCTTTTTTGATCCCTGTTTAAGAATGTAGATAATACGCTCTTGCAGGGTATACTCTAGGCTAGGCATATGCAACTTTTTCAGCCCTGAGGGTCATTCTCATGTATATGTATATGTATGTGTGTATGTATGTATACACACACACACACAAATGTACACATATCTCTATTACATTTGTTATCTTTCCATGAATCCTGAGTAGGAAGAGAAAGTCTGGCTTGTATATTAGACTTCAAGACCTCAAGCCGAGTTACACAGGAATTTCCCTTCCTTTTATCCGCACAACAGCAACCTTGTGAGGTAAGTGGACCAAGAGAGGGTGACTGGCCCAAAGTCACCCAGTGAGTTTTCATGGTTGAGGATGGACTTGAACTTGGGTCTCCCTAGTCCTGGTTCAACGTCTTAAACACTAAGATATACAGTACTAGCTTCCCTTTTTCAAAGCATTACGTATTAAATTTCCAAGTTAGATCCAGTGCCACAGAAAAGAGAATAAACAGAGCATTCGCTACTGAAATACTGCCTTTACATCTCTCAAAGATTATGACAGTATGCTACCTCAATGGCAAAGAGGTACAACTCATCTTTTTTGATGCAACAGATCACACATTCATTACTTATAATTCAGTTTTATTATAGCCACTAGACAATATTCAAATCATATACTCAACAGATAATACAAACATCTACATATATAAAAGTCAAATAAAATGACGCAATATAACTTTAGAGAGCCAGTCTGGTATAATAGTTAAGGCATAAGGCTAGAAACCAAGAGAACCATGAGTCCCTGGCCTGCCTAGGAATGAAGCCAGCTGGATAACTTTGCGCCAGTCACTCTCTTTCAGCCCTAGGAAGAAGGTAATGGCAAACCACTTCCAAAAATCTTGCTAAAAAAACTGCAGGGATTTGTCCAGGCAGTTGCCAGGAGTCAACACTGACTCAAAGGCACCAAAACAAAACAAAACCCAAATCACCCTTAATAAGCATATGAATTCTTATTCCATCTGAGTACATTTCACTTTTTCCTAAACAGAGATACTGGATTCAATAAGTAATAGGGTAAATATTGTAACTTGCCATCTAATGCTAGAATCAAGCAAGTAAAGGACCAGTTCCCACCCTGATGATGT